CTTTTTTGTGTTGCTGGAGTACTCCTTGAAGTACATTTTCCGTATCTGGCATGTAGATGGTAAAATATTTGGAGTTTTTACTTGTCTGAAAATGTCTTCATTTTGTACTTAGGCTCAATGGACAGTTTGGCTAGGTATAGAATTCTAGGTTCCAAAATCATTTCCCTTAGAATTTTGAAGGATTGCCTCATTATCTTTTGGTGTCCTCTGGTTTTGTTAAGAAATCTTACGTCAGTCTGACTCCTTAAAGTTTTCTTTTCTGAAAGTGTTTAAGATTTTTCTCTTTATGTTTTGAGTTTTGAAATTTTGTAATGCTGGGTTGAGGTGTAGTTGCTTTTCATGCACCCTCTGTTTTTATACTGAATGATTAGCTTTGCATTTTGAACTTTAATTGTAATATATTGGGTTTCCTTTAGCTTCACTTTAAAGTTTTTGTATAAGACTTGAAATTAATATGCCCGCATACACTGCTGGGTTGAAGGAGGAGGTAGGCCAGATGATGAGGCTGGAACTTGTGGACAGGCCCCTGCAGGTTGTAGGAGTTTGTCCTTTAAATAGTGGGCCTCAGCTTTGGTTGCATGTTAGAGGTGCCTGCAAAGGTTTGGGAGCCTTGATGCCTAAGCCTGAGTCCCACCCTAAGATATTCCTGAGCCATCGGTTTGGGTGCCGCCTCTGCACTGGGACTTTGGACACTTCCTAAGAGATGCTGGGTGCATCCACAATTGAGGACCACTGCTTCAAAATAACCTCGAGAGTGGTGTGGCGTCAGCCCCACTCCCTCATGGGCTTGGTCCTCAGGGAATCTTGTAGCTCTCGTGATATTTCAGGGGTGGGCAGGGTGGAGGTTTGGGATCCCTCTGGGTCCCCTGCTCTAGAGCCAGGGCTGTGCTGGCTCTGCTCCATGTCCTGTTCAGACTGGCGTGTGACTGTCCTGTCGGTGGGCAGGTAGGGGTCAGGGTGGGGGTAGGGTTATGCTTCAGCAAGGCTCTCCAGAGAGGCGTGAGCAGGAGAGACGGCCACTCTTCCCAGACACTTCTTGCCCTCAAAGCCCTTTCATCCTGTTCCCTCTCTCTGCTCTTTTCTGCCAGTTTTGGTGGTCAGGTGGTTCACTTCCGATTCTCAACAGCGTTCCCCCAGCATGACCTCACAGAGCTTGCGCCTGACCCTGGAGGACTTGCTGGTCTACTCAGAGTTCGCAGAGGACATCTGAGCCCAGGCTGTCTCCTCCTGAGTTCCTGGGGGCCCGCCCTCGGACAGGGCTAACCTTTCGCAACACTGGCTCTCCACAAAGCAGTGTGCTGCTCCATGGGGGCGGCTCGATACCCGTCCTCCCGGTACCCTGCCGTCACTTTCGGCAGCTTCCTGCCAACACTGAGGTCTGTGTTCCTGGGCCAAGGAGAGGGAGGGTGTTGGTGGGCCTGAGTTAAGTAGTTGAGTTCACGGACTGAAACAGAAACAGAGTGCCCCGACCCCACACCACATCCCTCATAAATAGCACCCCATATCCTACTTAGGAGAGCAGGAAAGTGTAGACATATTTTAGAAAAAAATTTAAAACCAGTAATAGTTGTTAAAATTGGTCATTCTAAAAGAAAGTTTTTTTCTAAGTTTATATTGAAAGACCACACTCTTTGGCATTGCCTCTTGGGGGCCCTGCCGCCAGAGGACTGGGGCAGAGGACTGGGGGGCAGGCAGCCAGGCTGCGGCGGGCCCCACCCTCCACCTCTCTGTGCCTTGGTTTCCCTTTCGGGCAGCGGGTGCCCGTGCCCATTGCTGAGAAGGCATAAGTGCTAGAGCCACTCAGTCGCTGCCCCATTCTTGGCATCCTGATCTTCACCGTTAACTCATGCATCTGGAAGACAATCCGTTTTTTCCCAAATTATTTCTTGTTTTCATTGTTTGAAATAGAAAACTTGAAAGAAATCAGTTATTGTAGAACATCTATTTCAGCTTGCTTCTGAGATATGTGTAAACAAATTGTGGTTTCTGAAACTAGTTTGAATGTCTTTTTAAAATATTCTTTAATTAAGATGGTTTGCATCTTCCGTAGTTGATAAAGGAAGTCGAGGGCATTTTGGTGATGGTGTGTCTTTACTTGTCTAATCTCCATTTTATTTTATTATTTTTAAAGATTTTATTTACTTATTTGACAGAGAGAGAGAGACAGCGAGAGAGGGAACACAAGCAGGGGGAGTGGGAGAGGGAGAAGCAGGCTTCCCGCCGAGCAGGGAGCCCGATGCGGGGCTTGATCCCAGGATCCTGAGATCATGACCTGAGCTGAAGGCAGCCGCATAACGACTGAGCCACCCAGGCGCCCCTAATCTCCATTTTAAACACATTTTGTTTTTTATAAAATACTTTTTATAGATTAGATATAACTTGAGTCATATCACATTTGTATGTGTTTTGTCAGTAACAAAATTAGTTGTCATAGTGTGAAGAAATGAAGCGGTTGTGCTGTCACTTTGAAGGGGGCAAGGTGAATTCAGAGGGGCCCTGCATTCCAATTATGGAACGGAGTTAATTTGATGACATCCGAAAGAGCATATTTTCCTACAAAGATATTTTCTGAAATAGAGAAAGTTATGTCGACTATTGGATAACATAAATCCAGTGTTTCCTTTTCCAGGAGTGCTGAGTTATTTAAATTGGATTAAGATTCATTTCTTATTATTTCATATCATAACAGAGCAAAACATTTCTTAAAAATGCGGTCACTTGCTAAAATGAAAACACAACACAATTCTGTCCTCTCTCTCCAAAGAGTGAGGATGGCTGCGTTTTTCCTGCTGTGACCATGACAACCGGCTCCGTCACAAAGGGACAGCCTCCCCGGACATCAGGCCCTGGCACAAACATTTGACTTTCTTCAAGGCAGTAATATTAAAGCAAATTCCTTGTCTTTGCCAAACATAGGACTCATTGTGAGGAACTTCCAGCTTCCTTAGTGAGACATGTTTTCCTTCGTTATCCAAATTCTGGTTCGATTTTTTCGCCTTCTGAAACCTGACTCTACTAAGCAGCTTTTTAAACAGAACTCCTGGTAATTTAAATGTGATTGTGGACCGTCTCTTCCCGTTTGTGTCGTCCTCATGCAGCGCTTTGGTTTTGATCCCAGGAGGCCTTTCCTGGGCCTGCCGTGCCTGGCAGCGGTGACAGAGCTTTAGCCACAGCTGTGTCCGTGCAGCCACGAAACCATCCCCGGGCCCTTGCCTTGCCGCGCTTCCTTCTCTGCCTGTTACACCGGTGGTTCTTGGAGACCTGGGACCACTCTGCTAACTGATTTGGGTTGGCTGAACTCTAGGATTAATGCTAGATAGAGACTGAGCTGCCGCCTTGTGTGAAAACAGCCTGCACAAGGGCACTGCCCTGGGCCACAGCCTGGGTGACCTGAGCAAGGCCTTGTCCCTGCTTCTCTGGCCCAGCAGGACTGGCACTGGGGCTGCAGTTTGCTCAGAGCCGCTGACTGGAGCGGCTGCCTTCTCTCCCTGCCTCAGAGACTCTGTCCATGGCGTGGAAAACCAGGGAGTGCCCCGGTGTGGCCTGAGGCAACGTATTACTGTGTCCCTGGCACCAACGAGATGTTCTTCAGTCTGCCTGAGCTGGAGTACTAGAGGGATTTACTGTTTTATGTCTGCGCACATCTGTTTCAGTTTCTGTGACTTTACTCCGTGGCCCCAAGTCCGTAACTGGCTGGTTAACTCGATTCAGGTGTTGATTTTCTAGGGAGGCGTACCTTGTGCCCCTTGAGGTCCCTTCGGCCCCTCCAAATACCTCCTGTAACCTGCCCCGGGCCTCAGCACCTGGACTCAGCTGCCTCAGTGCTGAGTTCTGTGGCCACTCCTTACTCAGAAAGCTTACTGGGCCAGGCCTGCCCTCCTGCCTGCCTCCATGGCCTGCTGTTCCCCACACCGCCGGGCACACTCTGGCGTCTGCTCTTTATGAAACCCTAGCGGCCCCGGGCCCCCTCTTGCCCCTTGTCTTCGTAAGCCTCCTGATACTTCTCCAGCACTGTTCATTCAGTGCAGCCGGAGGTCATCATTTAACTTTTCCCAACTCAGTTGCAATCTCTTTGAAGGCAAAGTGTTTCTAAAACATTTATTAAAATATAACATCCATACAGAAAAGTGCACTTATCATAAATGCCAGTTCAGTTAATTTTCTCAAACTGAGCACGCCATGTAACCAGCGCCCCGATGAAGAGCCGACATCACCAGCCCTCAGAGGCCCCCTGCGTCCCTTCTGGTCCCTGCCCACTTCCCAAGGCAACCCCCTGATTCCAGATGAATTTGCTGCCCTTGAACACCATGTGGACATCACGCACATGTGCATGCAAACCAGGGTTGTTCATTCTCATCACAGTATTTTTCTCAGCTTTTCCGTTTTACGTTGGGGACTATCACATCTTGGTGAACGTGTGGGGGTGTTTGTGGGGTCTGCACCTAGCAGGGAGCTGCTGGGTCATAGGGTATGTGCATGTCCAGACGTGACGAACACTGGCAGTGACTGTAATTACCACTGAGGGATGCATTCAGATAACCGCTCATGGTGTCCAGCTCAGTGAGCTTTTAGCAGCCGATCACACACGCGTTACCCCCTCCCCAGGTAACCATATCTTGACTTTTATCGCATTGCCGACGGCATTTACTCAAGCACTTCCATTCAGGGACATTTTGATTTTTTCTTTTTTAATATTCTCCCCGGCTTAGCTTAGTGTTACACTCAGTAAATGGTTGCTGAATCTGTTTTCCTCCAGTGAGCAATCCCTCCTTAATATGCTGGTCCCATGTGGCCTCTTTGCGTCTCAGCCCCTAAAGATGGAGCGCTGTTTTCCATTTGCTTCCCTTTCACTCTGTCTAGGGCTGACCTGGTTTTTTTTTTACCTGGTAGTGTACAATGTTGTTAGCTCCCTTGTAGTACCATTACCCTAAGTTCTAGGAAAGAGAAGACCACTGAAAATTGAATTACAAAAGAACTTTTATCTTTCTTTTTTCAAACAGTTGGATATTCTAAAAATCAAGCAATAGCACAAAGCTCAGGATCTTACCTTTGCTTTTTGGATTCGGTAAGTAACTGTTTTATTTAAAGTGTGTGTATATGTAGTGGTTGAATAATTAAATGACCTGACATTTTAGTGTGGTTCTTGAAAATCATTATTCTAATATATAATGATCAGACTTAAAAGTTAAGGTTCATGGGCTCTTGCTGTTAAATTGCCGTAGCACTGAATGAGTTAATTTTTAATAAATAGGATTATATAAAAATGCAGAATTGCACAAAAGAATCGCATAAACTGGGAAGATGTGGACACTTAGCTGATGAACAGCCATAGATAAGACGTAATGCACACAGTGATAAGAAAGCGCAGAGAAGGGCCGGTGGTGGGTCTGTCGGGAAGGACAGAGGATAGCGGACTGCAGGTGGGCTTTAACATACCTTTAGGTCACTTGTGACCAAGGAAACAAAAGTTACATTAGTGAGATACGAGTTTTTAAAAACCACGTTAACAGGGTTTTCTGAAGTGCAGATAGTTCATATTTGGAAAGTGTGAATTGGGGGTGCTCGGCAGCAAAGTTAGGCACTTTGTTATCAAGAACTTAAAAAATGCTCATGCCCTCGACTCTAGACTTCATTTGTAGGGATCTCAGAAATTCTGAAAACGATTTATGTGTGGTCGGTATATGGGAATTACTACAATGTCTGTAAAGCATCTTCAGTCACATGACGAAGGATTATGACAGGTGACCAGAAGCATAATAGCGTGTGTTCACCCGTGGATTTTCTTGTTACTTTATTTTTTTTTTTAAGATTATTATTTATTTATTGAGAGAGAGAGAGAGAGAGAGGGCACAAGCAGGGGGAGGGGCAGGCAGAGGGAGAAGCAGGCTTCCCGCTGAGCTGGGAGCCCGATGCGGGGCTCGATCCCAGGACCCCGAGATCATGACCTGAGCCAAAGGCAGACACCCAACGACTAAGCCCCCCAGGCGTGCCTTATTACTGACTTTAAAACACGCTTTAAGAATGTCTGTCTGTATGTGGTCTCCCTTCGGGCTCCTCTGGGTCTGGGGATGCAGGGCACCCACGTTTTCTGGGTATTCCTTGGGTAGCTGCTTTGGTGTTCGTGAGGTCGGCGGTGGCTCAGAGTTTCTGCTTGTGCTGAATTCACCTACGAACTGTGTCGTCTCGTATTGGCTTAGCCTTTTCCTTGATTACCAGGACCTTCTGTACAAGGTCTGGGTCCACAGGGAGGTTTGGGGAGATTGTGTGCCTATGCGAGCAAGCAGCAAAAAAGTGCCTCTCAGATGGCCCTGCTCTTGGAGACAAACCCTGGGGCTGCAGTGCCTGTCCTGCTGCTTCGGCGTCTCCGGTCTCTTTTTCTGCCTTTTTCTTAGATAAAACTTCCTCTCGTTCCCTCATCTCCTTGCAGACCTGGCTCCGGGGCCTGTTTTCACTCTTAGAGGGTCCATCCAACAGTTTCCTAAACAAAGACAGTTTTTCCACCAAAGACAGCTACACCCACCACATAGCAAAGTGTGCTTCTTCGGCCTTTGGGTGCAGGGAGGTGGCGATTTTCTGTTGCTCCGTTAGGACTGCTCTTTCTGAAATACTTAGGAAGCTCCCGCTGGCAGGACTATAGGAGAAGGAGAGAGGAGGGCTGAAGACACCCTCTCCTCTCCAGTATCCTCCGAGGCTTTCTCTGTGTTCGCTGGAGAGCAAGAAAGAAAATGAAGGAAGGCCAAGTTGGACCGGGTGGAGCCCGGTTTAGAACGGCGAGAACCGCGGACCAGGGAGGCTCCTGATAAAGCTGCCGATGGACGTCAGCACAGTCACCACTGGGCTGGCAGAGGGCAGGGAGGACGACCAGGTCCTGCAGTGGTGGGCAGGGAGAGAAGGGGCAGGTTGGACGCCTGGCCTGGTCAGTCCCGGAAACTGTGGGGAGGGAGGTGGGGGGGGAGCGGTCAGAGTCACAAGGGCCAGGAGAGGAAGGCGGCCAGATTGCGCATCACCATGTCTCCGTCCTGGGCGTGGGCATCAGAGAAGGATGGTGTTGCCGAAGTCTGACCAAGGAAGACTGGCCCCCACTCTAGAAATGTGAATTGTTCTTGGGGTTTAGGTGAAATAAATCAGTGAGGTAAATTTTGGCGAGCTTTGCCCTGGGATTGGCACAACCGTCTTGCTGCACTAACCAGGGCAAGGGTGGCACAGTCCATCGCCTTCCCGGTGGCTGACGGACGCATCCGCCTGCGAAGGAGCTGGGGGCATGAACGGGCAGGTGTGTCTGGTTCATTTAGGACCTGGTCATTCCCGGCCATGGGGTGGGGTAAGATAAGCAAACAAAAAAGTCTGGCTTTTGAAGAAGGTAGCCTTTAATATGTGCATCGTGACAGGGACTTGAATTCCTGGGCCCTTGAGGTGAGCAGATGCCGTGTCTGTGGAAAGGAGAGCTTAGAACTGGGCTTCATCCGGGGGCGCTGCTTTTCTGAGAGCGTCCCTTCCGAGGGTACCCCCAGCACTTGCCACCACAGCAGAGAACCTCTGCCTGGCCCGCTTCCCTTGGGCCCCTGGCAGCATGGTCTCTGCATCAGGAGCCAATTAGCCACCACGGAGCAGTGTGTCCTGAGTGGCCATAGCACCTGGCAGGGGCTGCAGGCCCAAGGGTTCACGAGGGGACCGCCCAGGAGGGAGACTGGCGCGCACCCGCACGGGGACGCCCAAGGGGACTGCCAGGAGGATGCCCCATCTTCCCGGAGGTGGGTTGGCGTCCTCAGTGAAGGACAGACAGGTCGCGCACCTGTGCTGCCCTCGGGTGTGGGGCCGCGCCCTTGTCTGACCGCTGCCTGGAGCGCCTCTCCTCCATGCACCTTTGTTTTATTTGTTTAGTTTCTGATCTTGGTGGGTTTGGTTCATTTCTAGTGCTCACTCATTACCTCTCAACCTTTCTTTTTACTTTCTCGCGTAAGGTTTAGGACGATTCCTTCTCTTCTGGGGACCACGTGGGTGTCCCTAAGTCCTGAATATAGTGACTCAGGTATTGTCACCTTCGTAGCTTCCAAGCTGATTTCTTCATCTTTAAACATAGACCTCAGGATCTCGGGGCAGAGAACTGAGTCCATCATGAGCCTCGGTTCAGGACGCTCGCTCCTCTTTTCGAGCAGGGTCAGTTTGGTGTGTTGTACCCACGTCTCGGCAAAGGCACTGGTGTACGTGCCCATGAACCTGCCATGTAGGACTAGAGCCGGCCTGGCCCTCTGACCGCCTCCCCCGGCATACCTGCCACACGCCACATCGTAACCCCTGCTGAACTCTGCTGTTTGTACAGAGCTGAAAAAGTCAATTAAAAATTTCAGTGTTTTTATCTTTATGCAAAGAGTATCAGGCTATATAATATTTTAAAACTTGCGTTGTTAAGGTCCATCAATATTGTTGTTACATCTTTGTATATCATTCAGTTTTTTTGTTTTTTTGTTTTGTTTTGTTTAAAGATTTTAAGGTCCATCAATATTGTTGTTACATCTTTGTATATCATTCAGTTTTTTTGTTTTTTTGTTTTGTTTTGTTTAAAGATTTTATTTATTTGAGAGAGAATGAGAGAGAGAGAGAGCACATGGTGGGGAGGATCAGAGGGAGAAGCAGACTCCCCGCCGAGCAGGGAGCCCGATGCGGGACTCGATCCCGGGACTCCAGGATCATGACCTGAGCCGAAGGCAGATGCTTAACCAACTGAGCCACCCAGGCGCCCGATCATTCAGTTTTTAAAAACGGAGGTAAAATTTATATATAGTGAAATGCAAGATTTCAATGTGAAAATTCTATACAAAGTGAACAATTTGGTGAGTTTTGACAGCTGTGTACACCCAGATACCTAACACCCCAGTCAAGATACAGAGCATTTCCATCGCTCAGAACGTCCACTGTGCTTCTGCTAGACGGCACTCACAGGTCTCAGATCTGCAGGTGAAATCTTACAGGATGCCCTCTTGTGTGCAGCCTTTTACTCCACGGTTCTCTGTGATATATTGTGTGTCGATGGCTTAATCTTTTTTTTATTATCTGTTGTGTGAATATGCCACGATTTGTTTTACACTGTACTGTTTATTGACATTTGGGCAGTTTCCTGTCTGTGTTATTTTAGTGAAAGCACCACAAACATTCTTATGTAAGTCCTTTTGTGGATGTGTATTTCCATTTCTCTTGGGAAAATACCCAGGGGTGGTGTTGACTGGTCACAGGGTAAAGGTATGCTTCGCCTGAAAAGAACCTGCCAACCACAGACGATGCTCTTGTGTCCGGGGCGGGGGGGCTGCTCCACCTTCTCGCCGACCCAGACACTGTTGGTCTCAGTCTTAACTATTCAACAGGTGCAGAGTTTGTCTTGTTGCAGCTTTGATTTGCATTTCTGTGGTGCCTGGTGATGTTGTGCACCGTTCACGGGTTTAATGGCCATTCATTTCTTTTGTGAAATGTCTGTTCAAATCTTTTGCCTGTTTTTTTTAGTTGGGCTGTTCGTCTTGTTATTAGAAGACAAGTTATGCAAGTTCTATATTTTGGATGCAAGTCCGTTGTCAGATACTGTGAATACTTTCTCCCATCTGTGACTTGCCTTCATATTTAATGTCTTTTGATGAACAGAAGTTCTAAATTTTGCTGAACTCCAGTGTATTTTTTTCTTTTGTAGTTAATTTGTTTTTCTGAGCAATCTCCACTTGCCCCAAAGGAGAAGCTATTCTCTTATATTTTCTTCTAGTAGCTTATGGTTTTTATTTTATATTTAGCTCATTATCCATCTCGTATTAATGTCTGTATGAAGCAGGACCCAAGGCTAATTGGTCACAGTGCCCTTTGTTGACACTGTCTTTGCTGAGTTGCCTGATGCCCCTGCTGAAAGTCAGTCGGCGTGCCGGTGCATGTTCCATCCTGCTGCTCTGCAGTCTGTGGTGTGCATGTGGCCCGCCACACAGCAGGGCACGGACAGACAGACCGCGCGTGCTCACGCACCCCCCGCCGGGCACCCGGCTGCTTCCAGCTTTTGCTCTCGTGAGTGACGCTGCTGCGCTGCACGGTGTC